AAATGTTGCTTAAGGTAGGCCCTGCTTCGATTTGTGTGCAGCCTAGCTGCTGCTAGTAGGGTTGCATGCGTGTTCAGAAGTGCAGACTGTCAAGGTGCATGAGGGCTTGTCTGTATCAGCTGGCCAGAAGGTAATGGATTTGCAAAAAAATCATGAACTGTAATATACAGTGTTGGCACAGTTTTGTGTCAGAACCCAGGAGGGACCTAAAGCCTGGGACAAGGGAGAAAGACTGCTGGCCTCAAGCAGACTTGGGTGAAAATGGAGAATATGGCCCTCATGATGGTGCAATGGTAGGTGAGATACTGCAGGGACTCTATAGGGACCTTGTTGTTGATGGGACCATGGTGTCCTCTGCCAAACGAGCTGTGAAGGTTACCATGTGGCCTGTCTGATTTGCACCAGGATGTGAAATGTTTTGTTTCTTCTCTTCTTGCCGTTAAACTTCAAACTCTGCTAAATGGTGTGATTGTTCAGGTTAGCTGTGGTTTTGTCTTTCAGCACATCAGGTTGCAAGGGGTTATTCAGGATAAAGAAGCAGAGCTGAGATTTCCAAAGGGAGTTAGGTGCCTTGCTCCTCTAGGCCATGCTGTAAATGCCAGGCAAGAAATGAATTAATGATATGCTGTGAGAATCGTATCTTTGCATGGAAAATATGCACAGTAGATGATTTTTGCTTTGAGAAGTATTTACCTCATGCTGTTAAGAGTATATAGACAGCATATTATCTCCATTTGTTTTAATGCCCATTTATCTTAATTATTAATGTGAATTTGAGCTGCCTTCTTCACTGCATTTAAAAGCAAATCACCCCAAGTTCAGAAGTTCACTGCACATGCCCAAAACTTTTTTTTCTCTCAAGAGCTTAAACCAAACTTCAGTGATCTTAGTCATGTTCTGCTTGACCAAATACTGACCTTCCTCTGCAGTAGAAAGACATTTAAGCCTGTTTTCTGAAATTAAATCAAATTCTTGTAATCCAATGAGATTTACAACTGCTCAAGTCTAGTCAGGTTCATATATGTTTAAAGTAAGGTAGGTTCATATGATGTTTTATTTTTCTTGAGCTAAGGCCGTATGTAGCATTTGGGATTAAGTTGAAAATCAATGTGTTTCACAAATGTCATCGGAGTAGGTCTGTAAAAATATTCCCAATGTTTCTCAAAACAATATCTACATATTATTTAATACTCATTGCCCAAGCTTTCTCGGTGTTCTGCTATATACCACATTTTCTGAAAGTATGTATGCTGTCACGGCTAGTAACTATTCCTCAGTGATTAGTGTGACAGTAAGTGAAGCGTGAATATTGAGACTTGCCATATCATGCATGCCAAGTTCCTATATGGCCCAACTGCTGTGAGACAAAACATGCTATTATGTTTTAGACACAAAGCCATATTGTATGAAATTCCATCCTGTCACATACTGAAGAAGGTGTATTTAAAAATCAAATCTTTTTTTTTCTTTAGTTCTTTTTGTAAACTTTTCTGTATTAAATACTTAACTACTGAGCCCTATCAGAAAATTCAGCCTTTGTCCCTATTGAGGAATCATGTTTCAAACTTACATCAGACAAATTCTTAATGTTTTAAGGAGGGAATTTTAAAGACACTCTTGGCAAAAAAAAAAAAAAAAAGAGGAAAGAAACAAAACCAAATGTACCAATGTTCCAGACTGCTGAGGTTATGCACTAAATGGGTTTCTCCAAACAATTCTAATGTGGTAGATGTAAGTTAAATACATGATCATACAGTGCATTTTTCGTAAGTGGAAGAATGGCTTGTTCTTAAACAAAGCAGACAAATTAGTCATGCATTCCACTAAAGGCATCAATTTTAAGACTGACAACCTTAGGAGCCCACACGCTTATGCCTTTTGCAGCATCCACTGATCTCCAGAAGTGACCTTCGCAGAAGACATGGGTTTTGGAGAAGAATTTTTTCATTGCTGTGCAAAGCTCTGTAAACAAAGCTAGAACTTTGATGTATAGCTTTAAAGATACGGCTGAGCGTAGCTAGAAGTGATGATCTGATCTACAAGCTACTTAGATGATCTTCTTCGGCCTGTATTACGCAGAGGGTGAGACTTTGTCATTATGGTCTCTTCTGAGTTTAAAATCTGTAAATGTTTGGGAACATGATACTAATAATGTAGCAACTGGAATCTTCAAAGCACTGTAGAAACAACTAACACCCTCTACCCGCCCCAGCACTACTCGGCGTATTATCAGGGCAGGTAAATGTAATAATTATAGCAGATTGAACTTTTTTTGCCGACTGTGCAATGAATTAATTTTTTTTCTATTTATTAATTGTAAACCTGGTTCTAATTCTGAATGATTTATTCACAGTTATTTCATTAGTTGATGTGATTATGTTGCAGCCCTAGATATTTTTGTTGGGTTTATATTATATTAATGTATAATCTGCTAATTATTTGATACTTATCTTTGACTTCTTGATTGATCTCAGTTAACTGGTATCTTTTTTGTTTCTAAACTGGGAAGGTGACTTTGGCTTCCTAAACTGTTCCTGCTCAAAATAATTTCAATTTATATTAGCTAATCTGATTTTCTTGCTAAAAAAAAAAATCTTAGCAGTATGCCAGGTACATTGGTGACCTTTAATACAGTCAAAACGCTGGCACTACTCTGTTCAAGAGCACCAAGGAACTAGGGCGTCATCATCCATAATTTCACCAGCAATTCAGAATTCATTAATGTTTGAATGTTCTTTTCTTTTGCTTTGCCTTACTTAATTAGCATCTTCACTGTACCTATGGATAAGCTAAGGAATGGTACAACTGTTATATTGGAGGGTAATATTTGATTACTTATTTAAGTGACCTCATTTTTCTGACTTAATGGTAGCTTTCTTTCAAGAGCAAGTTTACTATGGCTTCTAAAGAGGCTGCAGCTACCACTATGGGGAAAAAAATACATTGGTGAAAAGATTTGCCAGGACTTCTGAACAAATAATTGGTGCAGGTGGGATTAGGACACAAGATAGGCCTCTCAGACTCAGTATAATCACCGGTCCATGGGAATTTTGGATGTGTAGAAGAATTGATACCAATTCTCCCTGAAAATTTACCCCTCCTTTTCTTTTCTTTGTTAAGAATATCTTTGTCTCCTGGTTTTTTGCTGTGTTCTGTAACGAAAATTCCTGTAATTTTCAAAAAGGTTGAGTGAAACAATGTTTATAATCTGGTAGTTTAGGGAATCTGGAATTAATCCTGTTGTAGAATCTAATTTATAGGCAAAGACTATTTCATTCAAGATGCCTTTATTTTGTCATGAACTGAAAATGAAAACAGAAAATTTATGCCCATTAGAAATACTAAAGTTTAGCATCTGTTTAACCTAGAATAACAATTCCAAATTATAATCCTGGGAATTCTGTGAAATCATGACTGATGAGAAATAATGTCCTGAAGTGATCAGCACTTCTGGGCAATTCATCCTTGGGTAATTTCTGGACAAATATCCTGCCTGTTCTCAAGAAGAGATCAGATAGGCACAGTATTCAAATATTCCTATCAAGCATACAGTTGCTAGAAATTAAAAAGACAGCCAGTGGCATATTTTTTGAATCATTACAAATATCAGCATATCATACATACGCCAGCACATAATTTAACAGAGATGTTTTTGACTTTCAAATCTATTTTTTTTTCACACTGATTGTAGTATGGGCATGGACAAGAAGTTATGTCTATGAAATTTGTGACTTACTTAGAGTTTTCACTGTAATAACATTTTTTTCTCATTTTAATGTTTTCAGTTCTTTGCTGCAGAGATAATCTTCACCTGTGTATACACTGATGCTAATAAATTATGCCATGTCAGCCCAATAATATGTGAAAATAAAAGAGTAACTCTGTTTAATCCATCTTCCTTGAATGGCTTTCCAGAAAGTCAGCTTGAGCTGAACAAAAATGAACATTTGCATGAAATATGCTGTAGTATTATTGATTTTAGAGGATAACGCCATCTTTTTCAAGTACTGTGGTATTTTGGACTGCAGTCTACTCTTATCTGTTTTGGGAAACTAGGGCATTGAAAAATAGGAGACCTTTTATACACTTTGTCATTTTTACCTGACAAAGGCATGGTTCAATTTACAATATTACCTACTAGTAATAGCAACATGATGTCGACAAGATTCAGCACCTCTTTTCCAACTGCATACTACAATGAGTTTGGTGGCTTTGGAAATGCAGGAGGCAGCTGTAGGTTACTAGACCCAAGCCACATCTTGCTGATTACAATTTTACTCTTGTCCTTTCAAATCTATTATTTTTAGTTTATATTTTCTTGTAATATTCCCAACCATATAGTTCCCAGTAAAACAATAAGTTTTATCAGACTTCCCTGAGTAGCTTAGAAAAGGTAATTCACTTACAATTTGATGTTTGCATTGCATTAACACCTAATGAAGTCAGCCCCCTGCTGTGTGAATATATGAAAAAATAAGAAGTCAGTACTTCCCAAAAGACAGATGTCTTCTTGAAACATGATGCATAAGTTGCATGTTAAGCGTCATTGAATTTTAAAATGTGATACTTCACAAAGTTGTATGAATACTGCTGTTACTTTAAGCTTGGATTTCATGCGTTTAGATAGTGATAACCGTTTGTTTCCAGTGCTGTAAATTTTTTCTCCATATGCTCAATAAAATATAAATGGGAGAATCAAAACACTTGCTTTCAAGATGCTGTCGCTCATGATCCTTTAGCAGACTAGACAGGGCATATGTGATATGGTATATTATATGCTCTAAATTTGTAAAAATTGTATGAATTTTGAGCTATCAATCCAGAAATAATTCATTGACTCCCTAACCTGAGGACTATGTTTCCTGGTGGTGCTCCCAAAGACACTTTGTCTTTATCCTGGCTAGCAAGACTTGGTGTTTCAACTGTGCTGACTGCAGATGGAGTTAGTAAACAAAATAATGAGACTGATTTTCAGAAAAACCTTCTTGTTTGTGTTTCAGGCTGAGCTGTGTGAATCACGCGGAAGATCTAGCCTCCAAACTACTCCAGTGTTTTCCAAAGAACAGATTGTCAGCACAGGCAGCCCTGAGCCATGAGTATTTCAGTGATCTGCCCCCACGGCTATGGGAGTTAACTGATAGTGAGTATAACCACCTCCGAATCGATTAAAAACAAAGACTCTAGTTCATACAGATGCATGTGTGTATGCAAAGCCTCACATGCAGACAGCTTCATGGACATACACAGCCATACACAAAATATATGAGTGCAGATGTGTGGCTTGAAATTACATAGTTAGCTTGACACAGGAAAAAATGGGTTCTTTTTTCTTTTTGCTATCTCTGCTCTGCAGTCTGCAGCCAGCTATCTTTGTATTTGATTATGTGTGCAGCCAAGAGAATTATCTGAATTGTCATAAAGCAAAAGGAAAAATGCAATTTACATATTTAGTGGTTTTCACTTTATAACATACACTACTTCTTAACTAGCTGCAGCATACAGGATAAAAATCCAGCCGTGTTTGATTCACAGAATCTCTATCTGCAATAACAGTAACCTTTAAGAAAGGACTTGGCATTCGGAAGGCTGAGAAATACAAAGTAGACAATCAGTTAATTTGCTGAATCAGACTGTGTAAAAAGAGCATGGCAGATGATATTATTAACCAAGAATGCTTTCAGTATTTACATACATATTTTTATTTCTTTTATTAAACAAAAATACTGTCAATTATCTCTTTAATAGTTGTAAATCATTTATATCGTACGTGTCCATAACTTTTTCCAGTGTTAAAAACGTACCACTATTTATTCTGGGGAAAAATATTATCATGCATGATATTTTTGATTCAGAGAAGGTTCTGTTATTAAAAATAAGTTTCACAGGGGCATAACAGTCGGCATTTTGCTTTAATTAAGTGTGGTGGAGAGAAGCATGTTTGCATTAGAACAGTCTGTTATTTTCTGCTTTCAAACATCCATCCATTAGCGAAAGATCTAAATCCAGTACTCTGAGGCAAAAAGTTCAGAGATGCAACAATGGCACGTGTGTGTATAACTACGGCTGATTAAAAAGTTTATGTGTAAAAATTGAGCTCCCTTTCTGAATATTCATCCGCAATAGATGCTGTTTACATCACTGTTAGTATGAAAACTTTTGCCTCCCAAAAGTTTCTCTTTTCCATCCTTGACAGCTGTAGTAGTCGCATTTTGAGCTGGTTCTGTCGCATGGCTGTCCAAGTACCCTACTCCCAACTGCTCTGAAGAGCACTCTTCCACTTGTAGAATATGAACATTAAAATCAAACTAATACCATTAACTTTTGTCCATCACCGGCTCTGTCAATAGACTGTGTCCTTGCTCTGCAAAAAGATTTCCCATTTCCTCCTCTGCCGTGCTAACCCACCACTCAGTTTGCTGACTGCGCTACTTTGTAAGCTGAAGATTCAAAGGATGCAGTGTAAATTAAGGCAGATGTTGAAAGTTTGCCTTTGGTGAAACTGATGCAGAGAGATTCATTTCTTCAGGACTAATGTGCCCGTTCATTTATCCTTTTTCCACTAAATGGAAAACAAAAATCACTCTGCAGTGGTGACATCTCAATCCTTCTGACTGTGTGATTTAGTCTAGCAAGGATTTTGAATTCTGAATTCTACAGTAGCACTTTTCTGTTAATATGGACTTATTACCCACTTGCCACTTAGTTTATCAGTCAGTGGTTAAATCCAGTTCTATCAGTGAAGTAAATGCCTACACATTATCACTCTGCAGCAGGCTGCCAACAGAGACAGTCTTGTCCTAGTCATTAACAAGCACAATGTATGCAGAACACCAGAGGGGAATTAAAACCACAAAAAATACCTCAGGGTGGTATTTTTAATATGAGAATTTAATTTGTAATTTCACAGATTAAGAATTTTGGCTGCATTAATCCTTTTATCAGCTCACAGCAGGTTATTTGCAGAAGCATAACCATAAGGCGATATTCATTGGCAGAAACACGTCTTTGCATAACGTTAAACATCAGGAGCAGTGAAACCTTTTGAAGGGGGGAGAATAAAGATGAAAAATCATTATATTTTAAAGCAAGGTTCTTCTAAATGCCTCCAGTAAAATTTTGAGTTACAGAAAGGCTATTGCTGTGTCTAGTAGATAATCATTATGAAGCATAAATCCAGATGCAAGAAAGGACAATCCGGATATCAAATACTACAATCATTTCTATTTAGTATGACTTGGATATACTTGTAAACATATTTACAAAACAAAGAAGTCATATACTTTGGAGAGTTTGGGAGAATGTTTACCGTGTAGTGAAATTACCAGTTTTTGTGATTCTAGTTCTCTGGCTTAATATTTTAGGTTGGGAAACACTTGCTATTGATAGTTATTAAAATGTACGTATAAACACATTGAGTCTTTATGCACAACAGAAGTGTGTGTACACATGAAATCTACTGCCTCCTGATCAAGACACCACTGCCATTTTGCAAATCTCTGTAGTGAATAGTCTTCATCATGGAATATATTTTGTCCAATTTTGTCCTAGCGCTGAATTGCAAAGTTGGGGATTTAGCCCTAAAAAAAAAAGGAAAGACTCAGAGGAAAGGAGAAAGAAAAGGGGGGAGGGGGGGGAACAGTCAAATGATTTTCCATCAGAGAATATTGTTTCTTTGGAATCACGGTATTTCACAAAATTGTGATGACTCTGCCTACATTGAAAAAGTAAAGAAGAAGTGTTTCACTTTCTCTTCTCACTTTGACTTCAGTACTATGTATTTATTTTCTATGTAATATTTTACAGGATAAAAATTTGATCTTGTGTTTTATTTTTAAAATGTGTGCAAAATGTGTTTAAGTGAAAAGCAAAATTTTTATTTTTTTATTTGGTTTGGTTTCAAGTCAAGGCATCATTTCATTTGGATTGGAAGTTCACTTTCCAGATAAGCTCTGTCTAACTTCTAGCCTCTTTCAGTTTTTAAAAACAGTACATGAAAAAGGTAATAGCTGTGCAGTTCTGCTAAAAGCATCTTATCTGGAAATACAGTACAATTTATGAAGCAACACAGCTTTCATTCATCTCGCACCTGAGCAGTAATCCATAGATTAGCCTCTTTTACTAACTATGTGTACTTGTTATTGAAAGGAAAGATCAGTTCTCTCCTTTTTCTGCTTTCATGTTTGAGAGCTCATATTTATTTATTTGCATAGAATATATGCCATTTGTAATGTATGTTACGAAGGATAGTAGAATATCAACTCAAGCTGAGATGTCAAAAATACAGTGGGAAGCTCTTGTGCATAAAACAATAGCCAAATTTTTTAAAGACATAAAGATGAAAGAGTAGCTCCAAAAACTTAACAGGTATTCTAGTTAGTGCAAGACCAAAGAGAACTGTTATGGCCCTGATCAGTTCTTTAAACAGTCTGTTGACATTTCCTCATGCAATCATGCAGTGGCAGCTCTCCAAGGATATTTTTATATGGACATTTGTTTTCAGAAGGTACTAAAAGTCAGTGATTTTCCCCACCAGTTTGAGTCATCCTAAGTAAAACTGAGTTTTAGTTTCATATCATCAATTTGTGAGTCCTTAACCATTTGCAGTTTGATCCCTGTGATTGATATCATCATGTCTACTAATAATTATTTGCCTGGTGTTACAGGCTTTTCCAGCTCATGCAGAAACGGTTTGCTTTATGTAAAAGCTTTTTGAGTTGTTGGGATATTTTTACCAAGCCTAGTTGTCTTTAACAGCTAATAAAATGAAGTCAAACGAAATAGGTCAGTTATACTGGCAGCAAGGTTCTGAAGATGTAATACATGATGTCAAATTATTGAAAAACCTTGCTGCATTTTTTCACAGTCTTATTTACTTATAATCGCTCCCAGAGCGGAAATTTTAAAATGGAAAACATGAATCATATAGCGATGTACAGACAAGTAAACACACACAACCAGGTTTTTCTAGAAGATGCACGCAGCTAAGAATGGCTGCAGCCTACAGCTTCCATCATCATGCATGCAGCTTCTTACCATTCAGAATTTTTACAGTGCTTACTTGGATAAATAGGCTGTATATGTAAAAGCTGTGTATATTTACTCATTGTTGTGTTTGCCATATATATTAACTAATTATTTTTAAATTACTACGTTTGCGGGAAAAATCAAAGTTTCTGAACTGACATTCTTTTTTGCAGTGTCTTCTATTTTTACTGTACCGAATGTAAGATTACAGCCAGAGACTGGAGAAAGCATGAAAGTCTTTGGAAAAAACAATAGTTATGGCAAAGGTGTATCAAACAGCAAACATTGAAGGATACCTATGTTCACAACTGATAATGCAGGTAAGACATGATTATTGGAAGGTATACCTTTGAAAATACTCTTTAGTTCTCTTTAGATAAACAAAAGATAAAATTCAACTGTACATTTCTTAAATTGCTCATGTGCAGGCAGATAATCTGTTTTTGCAGTATAGATGCTCGATATGAGGAGTGTAAGTTCCTGGACTTGTGGGCAGGATCAGTGTCACTGACAGGTTGGAAATATTGCAGAAGTTGGTGCCAGCAATTTAGGCACTAGGTTACCTTCAAATTGGACTGATTGTTTTTTTTCCCTCGGTAAGATATGGAGAGATAAAATACCTCTTCCCAGTTCTGTTGTTACACTTTGGGGCAAGGACAAGAAACGATTCATTTAGTAGGTTTAGTAACCTTGATAGCAGAAGGATGTTCTTGATGGAAACAAGTGCTGTCATGTTAATGAATTTGCTCTAGGTCACATCTAATAGGGATCTATTAGAACTGGTTTTGTTCTTGGATGTCTTTCATTCAATACCCCATCTTTTTAACCGTGAAATAGTGTGTAATAAGATTTCAGGTATTCTAAGAGTAGAACAGGACCTGGGAAGGGCAGGTGAGTAGAGAGGCTACTTACCAAATTACGGTAAGGGAATGGTGATTTTTATATCATGGCATTAACTCTCTTCTGCCCATACGCATCACCGCAGTGTTTGTTCAGGGGGATTTACCACTTGACAGACTCTTCCAGATTAGCAGTATTCCCTTATTTAGCTGCTTTGCTTATTGTGCTTCTCTAAATAGTTTCATACAGTGTTTCACAAAATACTCAAAGTGAAGATTCATTTCATTCAAAAACCCAGGCCTGCCTTTTTTTTAAAGTCACAGTTGCTTTCGCATGTTGAGTCCATTATAACAGCTTGTTACGGAAGTTCTAGGAGCTGAGATAAATGCACATGCTACTCGTGTACCTATTCAAAGGTGTAGTCTCATATAAATGTAGTTGATAGTCATGAAGTCTATTTTTAGCTGTCTACTTTTTACAATATCAGATATAACTTACTCTAGTGAATTATATTCGATTTTACTGTTACATGTTTATGTGCAAATTTTTTTAACCCTGCAATGTTATGGAGGCTGTTTGTTTGACAGGCAGCAACTACTGAAAAATTGAAATGAATAGATTTTGGTCTCGACAGCCGGCCATAATTTTTGCACAAGCTCTTCACCAGGAAACCATTTAAGATTTTTTAATGTCAGAAATGCGGCTGCCTCGCAGCAGTCTGTTTACGTCTTTATTGACAAGCTAATCCCTACTTTTTCCTGGGGCTCTGTCCCTGCAGACATCTCTTCAACCTTGTCTGTTCTAACGTGACATATCATCCATCTAAAGTAAATTTAGAATGTGCCCATCTGTGCTAAAGACCTTTTGTGTGGAAGCTTACGTACAGAATCTCATTTCTTATATACAGAATCTCATTTCTGTCGCTTCCGAACAAATCTAATTTTTCATTCATACAATATGCAATAGAAAGTTTGTATTTGCAAATGAGCATGTAAAATAGCACAAAAGAGAACCATTTGATCATTCTTACTGAATATCTATTTAAGTAGATGCAGATGACTTTTAAAAATTTTATATGGAAGCAGAAAGAGAGAGCTGTGTGTACCTTTGGCATATATTGCTGTACTCTGACGGCTGCTCAACCCCAGCTTTAATACAGGATAGCACCTTTCATTGCGTAAGATCTGGAGCCACTTAACAAATGTTAAGTTGTGACATGTATACATTATTGATTACAGTTTTCCATCGTGGTTTGGGACTTTGTTGTGTTACGTGCTTACAGTGCAATAAAATACCAGTTTCTGGTTGTAGAATTTGACTCGTGATACAAGATCGGGGGCAGGGGAGGGGAGCAGGAGATAATACTGGAAGAGTATTAGTACCAAGCAGAAGTAAGACTTGTAACAATGTAGAGAGCTGGGGATTAATGAGATTAAATTAGAATAGCAGGGGAGACAGAAGAAATGTGGACGTGGAACCTGGACCTGGGTGAGGAGTTGTTAGGATGTGTGGAAACCTTTAAAGGGATGATACTACCAAGCAAGAAGAAATAAGAGTCAGTGCGGAGAGTGAAAGGAGTTGAGGAAAAAGACTGCAGTTTTGATAATGTGAAAAGGAGGTCTGGTGAAGGCTTAATCTGAATAGCAGGTGGGTGTGATTTTAAGCTGTAGAGCGGTAACGAGCAAGTAAGATGTTCAATCAGTAAAATTGATGAGTTAGGAGCTGAATCAGTTATTCTAGCAGAAGACTAGAGTTGCAGTAAGCAGGATAGTAGCATTAGGTAAGGGGTATTTATTATGAGACATTCAATTAAAGTCTCTATTAACAAGGCTCAGTGAAGCAAAAAGGTGCATGAAAAACAAAAAGAAGGATGACAGTAGCTCTCCAGGGCCATGAAGTTAACAATTAAGCAAAGACAAGTAGAGTTAGAGGTACGGAGGCAAACAGTACAAGCTGTTAAAATGTCAACAAGTGTGGTGGATTGACCGTGACTGGACACCAGGTGCCCACCAAAACTGCTCTATCACTCCTTCTCCTCAACTGGACAGTGAAGAGAAAATATTATGAGAGGCTCATGGGTTGAGATAAGGACATGAGAGATCACTCACCAATTATCGACACAGGCAAAACAGACTCGACTTGGGGAAATAAGTTTAATTTATTACCAATCAAATCAGAGTAGGGTAATGAGAACTAAAACCAAATCTTACAAACGCCTTCCCCCAACCCATCCCTTCTTCCCAGGCTTAACTTTACTCCCGATTTTCTCTACCTCTTT